GCTTACCCCTTCATCCCCTTGGGTCCAGTCTGCCACCGATCTTCACTGTTCCCATCTTGTCGTCTATATCCCTTCCATATCGAACGATGTACCCCTCTTATCAAGCTTGAGGAGATGGGAGTTACAGATTCCCAGTCAAATGCACACAGACCGACACATACACTGACACACACACATACCACCGGCACAGACACCGGCTCTATCCGCCCACCCACCGACCCCCTCACCTGAACCTACACACACAAACATACACAAGCTCACTTACTCACTCACCCGCTCACTCACACACACATACACGTACACGTACACTCATACACACATACACACAACCCACAGTGTGCTATGTGTAGCGGGATTTGATGAAAGTTCTGCTTCCCATATCCCACGCGTACTGCTTAAGATCAAATCCAGCTGAGCTATTCCGCTACGGGAATTCACTGGAACTTTATCAAGCGTTTGGTCTTAGGGCACCCTGAATTCGAATCTGCGTACACTTCGATTCAACACTTCACAGTCTAAAACAATATTGTCGAAGGTAAAAATCGATCTGCTCATCCGAATGAATTAAAAGGATCTCCTGCTATGTTATACGCACAAAAGCGAGTAGCGCTCTTTTATAATACTTCTATAGAAACTTTCAGAAAACCGTGGGAAATACTGGTCTACTCTGAAATTTTTGGCAGATTCTTCCGCTTAATTCAATACAATCAAGCAAGTTCAGGGTCTCCTCGGTACAGTAGGAGAGAGACATGGTGCTGAAAAGCATTCGTGTGGATTCGAGTCCTATCCGAGTAGGGGGTGATTCAGTGGTGTATTTATATGGGTAAAACGTTGCAAGGCAATGACTGGTACTGATCGAAATGAAAAGACGATAAATGGGATAATTTCATCAAAGGGCAACGAAAAGTTTAGTAAACGGTTGGACAAACATATCGCCCTGTCCGTTGATCGAGGTGAAATGCGGACCGCGCTTCTTGGTGGTCTTGCTTGACCTCTCGTATCACTTGTAGGTTTCTCTTCTTAAAACGTTGTCTGACACTGTTGTGAGAGCGACGAGGGACAGGGGTGTCGACTCAGACGACTGTACCGACGCTGAGCGTTCATTCCATTACTCCGAAAAGCCCAGGAGAAATCGCTGGTAACTTCATTTCTGGGCTAGAAATGTCACCTTGCAGAATTTTTTTTTCAGTCGTTGTTTTTGCCATTGTATACGAGAACACAAAAGGGCTGCTGAAAAGGAAACATCAAAATAAACCTATTCCACATGTTTGAATCCTTATACCCCTAACGTCCTCCTATCCTACTCCTTGATTCCCATGGAAGGGTATCGTTGACCCCATAAGTTTTCTGTATTAACACTTCTGGACAATTGATTCAATGACAACTTGTGGCTCCTTTGAAATGGTGCTGATTCACCGAAGTTCATGAAAAATGCTGAGCTACACATGGTGGAGGAGCCCAATCTGCAGTGATAACATTGCAGAAACGTTTCAAGGAAGCCAATCGTGAGAAAAATGAAGACCTACGTTCAGGCTCACCATATTAATGTTTAGATATACCTTCATCAAAGAATGGTTAACTTCAGTGCAAATCGAAGTTCATTGCTTCATGGCTTGAACACACAAAAGCCTCAACACTGTTGTTCAAGTACTTCATTGTGGCATTGTTTACCTTCTCGAACCCCTCTCAGTCCACAGGAACGATAAGGCTGAAAGATTGTTCTCGGGACTGTTTAGTTCGGTCCATTTGATTATAGGAATATCGCATCAGTTCTGCGCAGAACCACTTTGTGGTGTTCAAGGCACCGATCTCTCTGGCACGCGAGTTCCCGCTGATCAGCAGAAAAGTCGCTATTTAGATGTCCGGTGGATCAAAACACTATTCATGGACAGCTTTATGAGGATTCGGAATTCAATAACGTTTTGGCATTTTCATTTCGTGGAGCGGGGGACCTCCGAGCTTTAGCATCATGATTTGCGATCTTCCCGTACAGCATTTCGAGCTACTCAAACCACTCTGAGTGACCAAGTTCAGCCTTAGAACAAATATTCGAAAAAAATCTAGCACAAATCATTCAGCCCACTTCTTTTCTGAGTCCGACATGCATGTTCCCTAAGTAGTGAGCCGTTCGGATAACAAATAAGTGCACCTACATATTGCTGCTCATTATAGAAATTGTACCGCCTCTGTCCCGCTATGTACTACTTTGTGTATTTCGCTGAGGGGCTGATGGTGCGGTTGTGTGTGTGTAGGCGGGAGGTCGACCAGAATTTGATAGCTGCGATCCCCCTGAACCTGAACCTTCTATTAAATTTGAGTGGGATACAGACAGTGAGGTGTAAACACTTATGGTGTGTGGGAGGAACTGACAAAAAATGATAGGGGCTAGTGTGTAGCACCGAAAACTGGAATAGTTGCGTGTTTTGCATTCCTTAAAGGAATGCCACTTGGTTGAGTACGAGGGATGTGACGGGATCATATATGATGGGGCGACGGTACTTACAACATTTGTTAAGGGTTAATAATTATCACTTGTCACTTCCCCTTTTCGTGTAACAGCGGGCGGTTGCTTTTTAGTTCCCGCACTACTAAAGGACGATCGATCATTTTGTAATTAGGCATGAATCATGTGTTACAAAAAGAGGCGTAGAGGTCAGCCGTGGATTCCGACTTTGCATAAGAGGTGGAGATCGTGGCTTAATCGGGACGATCTACGCGGGAGGTTAAGTGTGACTGTTGTTGCCCATGCGGCTGTTAAGGTGTGTGTGTGTCATGTATGTGTTTCACCCATTTGGAGAGTAGAGAGGATATCTCCGTATGAATTCAGGAAATGCAAAAGGCATAGTGGCGATTTCGAGTCAATGATAATTTGTTTTCACTTTGGTCCTTCTTTTTCAAAGTGGAGAATCTCCACGAGTGTTTTGAATGATAATGTGAAATTGTACAAATAGAATTGTTAAATCATCCCGAGTGGAATGTGGGATGCTCTTGATCAGCTTGACATTTCGACTCACCAATAGAAAAGGGCGTCAAATGCGGCGAACCCTACTGGGCACGAGGAAGGGAAGAATCGTGTGGGTAGGCTTTAGGTTCTCGGGAATAAGCCGATGTAATACGGTCAAAGTGTTTTAGCTCTAATCGAGCACTTCTTGAGAATCGTGTGTATTTGCAAGAATGGTCATTCCTGAACCTGTGAATTATGGCATTCCGTTTTGAATCTGTGCTTTTCTATGGGATCCTTGACATTCAGTAACATCTCCGTCCCACCCTCTTACCACGTCGGAGGACACACACGCTTTTATGAAAACAAAATAAAACATGAAGTATTAGAGGGCACATATGGTTGTGATATTGAAAGTGTTGCTTGCGTAAGTGTAAGTTTCGGTCCGATCAATAAAACTGTAGTAAGTGTGGGTACAAAAAGTTGTCAGCAATAGAACTCCAGCCTCAGTGACTGCATTAAAAAGTCTCAGCTTATGGTTAACTCGACGCTATTTGCATACTGTATGTGGATACCATAGCTGAATACCAATCGCCACGATGGAGGCACACCAGTGACACCGTCTGCGAAAGTGGTGCTGCTAATGGGATACAGTTCAGGGCTGAGACATACTAATTGATATTGATATTATAAATATTCACAGTTATACAGGCATCTTTGGATTGCTTCACCGGCGCTTCTTTTCAGGTGGGCGAATTTGATGGAAATTCGATTGCTCTTCTGCTGTTGGCGTTATAGTGTTCACTGAGCTTCGCTCTTCACTAGAAGTCTTTTATAAAACGAAACAACACACTCTATGCAATGCTAAATGCATATTTAATTCATTTCCACACTTCTATGAGCCTATGAACTTTGTTATGAGACCCAATCCAGGTCCTGAAAACGTCACATTATAATGTCTTTCTATGTCCTCTTCAATCCATTGCATTAGTGCATTGGTTTTCATAATACATGAAGGGGCGTGTTTCGATTTGATGTTTTGTTTACTGTTGTTATTTCGCCGCAGTAGGCGTTCCAAAAGTCTCACAAGGTTGGCGATTTGTGGGCAAAACTTCAGTCTCGAACAGGACTAGAACCCGTACTTGTGCTTTCCGGGCACCGTGGAGGTCAAGAAATATCGGCACTATTTACCCTTTACTGCCCCACTTTGTCGAGAACGGGCTGGATTTTTGTCGAATTTTTTTCAAGAAGATGAAACCGACTAGAAACTTGCTTAGGAGGGTAGGCCTTCCCCCCCCCCCCCCCCCCCCC